TTTTTTTTTTTTAAAGCGAAATAGAGAAGTCCTGGGGAAAGGCGAGGCGGAGAGCAAAAGGGGAGAGGCCGAGCCGATGAGCAGCCCGAGCTACAGCTCGAAGATGAAAAAAAGATTTTAAAGCCTCTGATCCAGCAAGAAGAGTTTAAAGCAATTGCTGAGTTTTATAGCACTTGTGACGTCAGGCCCAAAAGGGAAATTGACTGGTACTCCGGACCAATGGGAGGCGGCGAGAGCGGCCGCAATTAGCATAATATAGAAACAAGGAAACTTTTCCGAGCTGTCAATCAGGGCCCAATCAGCTGACTGTCAGCTGGGACTGGCAGTCTTAACCCTTCCTGTGCCGCAGCCTCCTCGGGAGGTTGCAAAGCCCGGCGCAAAGTTTGGTGCAAGAGGGGAAGGAGTTTTCCAGGGGGACTGCGGAAACCCGGGTGGACCGGCAGGACGGTTGGCTTTACTTCGGAGCGAGAAAGGCCTGCCTTCCGGAGCCCCAGCTCGCCCGCCACTCGCTCGGCCGGGATTGGCCGCCGCCCCCCGCCCCCCACCACACCCCGCCGACCACCATCCCCAGGGTCGTGAATTCACCGGGTAGCTTTTTCTCCTTGCTCCACCTTTGGCACCCAGGTGTCCGCCCGGGGGAACCTTCCTTCCCCCGAGCCTGGCAGTGCCCGGAGCTCAAACTTGGCCCAAACTCTTTGTCCCTCTTCCCGGTGGCCGCGCGCGGGTGTGCAGGGGTCCAGACGGCGCGGAGGACGTCGCCCCGCCGCGCGCCTGCTGGGGCGGTCTGGAGTCGGCGGAAAGAGAAAGCGCGCTTTATCACCCTCTTTTAAAGGAGGTGAACTAAGTTGTTCGGGAGCCATTCCGCGCGGGGGCTGGTTGCCCGCTGGCGTCGCGTGCCCTTGCGGGGGGAGCGAACTCCTCCGCGAATTAACTCCGGGAAAGCTCGGAGTCAGGTCAGCCCGGCTCACCCTCCGGCTTCCGACTCTGGCCCGAGTTTGGCCTTTGAGATTGATTTCACTCACACACACACACACACACACACACACACACACACACACACACACACAC